TTTAAAAAGTTATATCTTTCGAAATAAATAGGTTTTTTACTGGTTTAAGTTTACTAAGTTATCAACACACATTTGGAGATAAAAAACTTATCTAAAAGTTACTTTACTTTTTATTTTCAAAATGACTTCTTGAAAGTTAAAACTGGACAGATTTCAAAATTCAGGTTTCAAGATAGATGTAATAAACTGCACCTGTAAAAGCTCTTCAATAACGTCTTCCATGGTTATTATTCCAACTGCTGCTTCTTCTTCAGGGAGCGTTGGCAGCGAATTTCCATCTATCTGCAGGATGTCTGAGTATATATTTTTCATCCACTTTCTGCTCCTAGGTGTATGTGGACTTGGACTGTTAGGGAAACTCTTACATCCCTTCGTAGGGTTTTTTGTCTTTTTGCATTTCTCCAAGAAAGGCTTTCCACCATCAATGACTATTCTCAAATCCTTCGCAGTATCTACACACAAAGGCATGCAGAAATGCACACGAAGAGAGAAGAAAGATAGTTATAGAGACAAAGGATATTCAAAGATTAAGTGAATGTTTCGTATAGTATTGGAGAACTAGACAACAAAATGGACAAGATTTTAGCTTCTCATTTTTTTTTTGCTTTTCTTAATGCTTTCTACTAATGTCCAGTCCGCCTAACCATACTGTACCAAAGAGTAAAGCTTCAGCCAGCAAGAATAACTCACTGTCCACATTGCCGTTACTCTTTAAACTCCCTGCAGTAGCAGCCGGTTCCACCATCTTGTTGCGCAGTTTTATAACAACAGCCATGTGACTGTGACCTTTCTGGAACTCGTTTAAGATGTCATATAACGGCCTAGTTTCCTGGACCCTGTGAAATTAATGGGTTGTTTGACAAAGCTTTTGATAAAAACTTTTAGCAGATTTTGATAACAACTGATGTCTGATGTAACATGTGGTTGAAAAGTTGATAAAAGTTTTGAATATCATGAAATGTATGGTTAAAAATTGAAGTTTGACCAGTTGAAAAGTTGATAAAATTAGCTAAGTTCTATCAAACAAGCACTAAACGTCAACAAGTTGATATCTTTAATGTCCCTATCAGACAGTAGTATTTTATGATCAGCATAAGGATGTATAAAAACCTGAGTGCTCCCATTTTATTCCAACATGACTTAACACGGTAATGACAGAAACAAGACAAAAAACAAAATGTTTAGACGACGGACACACACACTGCCCGGGTGCACATGTATCGTGCAGTTACTGCAACAGCTAAAAGAACATTTTGCTCTGCCCTTAGAGAATTCACGACGTCACTCATAATAGACTTGTCATGAGCATCCCTAATATCTCTAGCATGTCAAATAGACAAATGCATCAATTTCCTTTTCTTAAGTCAGATTCATGAACACACCTCAACTACACTGTACTCCAATAAAAATCAAAAGAAACCTCGAGTGAATGTGTTCCCCTTTCCATCTCCAGTGCTACCTCTATCTAGCCATTATACATGCGCACAGAAAAATAACCCGGAAATTTTTTTATTTATCCCTTCAATTCTAGGATTCAAAAAAGCCCATCCCATAGCTAGAAAAAGAAATTATTATATGCCTAAATCATATGTGAAGCAACATGATTAAGGCATTATGCATTAAATAATAGATATTGAAGGTTAATACCTTAAATAACAGATATTGAAGGTTACCTTGGAATTCTCCGGATTGCAACGCTCTTCACGGGGACTTCATAATCTGGATTGATGGTTAACAAGTTTTTTACCTACAAAGCCAGAAATACAATTAGCAAAACAGATGATTTTAAATTAAATATAATGTTGAAATACTTGTTACAATTACATCGACATTGCAGATCATGGAAATATATTTTCATAAGGTCATTTGTCTTCTACACGTCTTAGTTGCTTTAAATGATTAAACAACGAAAACCTGAACCTGAGTTTTTTTTCCTTCTTGGACTATATTTTCTTTACCAATTGGTCCCCTATCATCTAATAGACCAACAAAAGACACTTCCATACAATATCAGAATGGACCATCAAAATCTTGATAAAAAGGATTGCTTACAATCTACAACATACAATGGCTAACAAACCTTACACTTGGGTCTGCTGCCTGCACCAAATTATTTCACATTCTCAGTCAAGTGGTACCAGACTGAGGACGTTGTCAAATTCATGCTAACAAAAATCTTATTGCAATATACTCAAAAGTGAACTTCCTGTAGTGATTTCCAGATTACAACTGCCAAATGTTTTACTAAATTAGAAATTGCTAAAGTCATTGCACGCAGCTGGACTAGCATGTTTGTCCTTCAACATCCCCAATCAAAATGAGACCACGACAAGACAGACCATAATCAATACTCACAAAATGTGGTCAACCAAAAGATACATCAATCTTATATAAACTGCACAAAAAATGTAGAAAGTTACCAGAACAAGTCCAATGATGTTTGTAGGTTGCTCATAGTAGACCGGCACTCTGCTATGCCCTTTCTCCAAAATTAGATTTATCAAAAACCTATGGAATGACAAATGACAGCATGTTACCAACATCAGATAGCTGAAAGAGCAAAGTTTTTTTAAAGTTATCATTTGTAAAATTATGCACCACCTATCAAGCTTTGCATTTATGTCAATCGAAAAGGTTTCAGATATTGGAGTCATGGCATCACTAGCTGTTTTCTCAGATAATTCAAGTGCTCCGGCAATAATTGTTGTTTCGTCATGTGTAAGTTCTCCACCTTTACCTGCCTGCTTACAAACAATAGGTAGAATTAAGAAATTGATGTAAAATAGTCGAAATTAGTATGGCCGATGAATGGAAATCAGCCAATCCAAAGATATGATAGCTGGACGAGAGGTTTGTAACACCAAAAAAAAAAAAATTATAACCCTGTAGAAACAATATAATTGAAGACATGTAACCTACATACCTCATTGCCATGGAAATCAACAAGCGTTTTCAATTCAGCACGGCGAAACAGAGCTCTATGCCCATCACCTAGGAGTAAGTCTAACAGCTGGAGATTAAAGAAACGGGCCTAGTTAGGAGATGATACTTCTCCTAAGCACTGAGAACATGGAGCAACTTTTTTGAACAAAAATATACCTTGCTTATTGGATATGCAACTGGAAAACAGATCCAGACAAGGATGCGAACCACGGGGGCTACAGTTGCACCAATGGCAAGTCCATATCTGGAGCAAACAGATTGCGGTATGATCTGATCATGCCATAAATAGCAGTTAGTTCATGCAAACTCATGATTCGATCTTAATATCAGATTAACATGTTATCATTTCAAGAAAGATTGATAAAGCAAGTTAAACTCTGCATAGCCCTATCTCTCCAGAAACCTTCTCCAAACTTCGCTTTAAGAACCAATGTTTTAACAGGGCAATAACGTGTTTTGATTTTCATAACAAGCACAAATAGAGTTTGAGCTTTGCTTATTTTGCAGTGAGCTTTACATTAGCCAAATGAAGTCTAGCTCGAGTAGCTTGATACTTCTCTATATAAAGATTATTATTAGCTCATGATTGATAGATTGACTAACAATAAAATTTGTTCAAGCTCGGCTTGTTAGCTAGCCAGCCATTTTTATAAGACTAAAGCAGCTTGGGACATTTTTTAAGAGGGGAGAGAAGGATAGAGTTGTCCAATTCAATCAAATTCTACAGCAAGTTATGCTAAATAAATTCCATACCTCACCAAACAAAAGTATTAGTGTCACGGAGATTAGGACAGCTCCCCAGGCTGTAATTAGACTGTCAAGAAAAATTGGAAGTGCCTGCAGCCGGGGCAGGGGGATTAAAGTTATAAATCATCTCCGAAATAGTTTTAAGTACAACACATCTAGTGTCAATACCTCCATGGCAGCAGCATTGCAGATGAGTAGGGTGCAAAGTAGTAAATGTTGATTCTTGACTACTGGCATTATCTTCGCTGAAATGAAAACATATGAAAATTCCAATTACAATTGGAAAAGAACCGAAAAGCAATAACATCCAGAGCCCACTCGGTTTGGCATCACCTTAGGTAATCCTTAATTACTTTTGCAATATTCCAAAATTTTCAAACGTTGGTTTACCAATGTAAATAAAAACCAGTAAATTTCGTGCACACAAATAAAAAGGCAAAGCAAAAATAGATGAGAAAGAGCTACACGTGAAAATTGATATCATTTCTAAAACAACTGACTAAATTTCCATCAAACATAATCAAAACTTCTTCAAGAAAAGAAAATGAATAAAACAGCACAAAATGATGATGCAGAGTTGCAATCAAATCCTTTACCACCCAGGACGAGGCCAGGGAATCCACTACAAGCCTTACAAAATAAGCCAAAAGTACATAAAAATAAGCTATACCAGCATATTTTTTGTCCTTGGGAGTTCCGGACTTGGCAAGAACTTCAAGATCAACAAGGCTTAAAGACATGAGGCCCAAAGTGAGCCCGGACATTAAGCCCGCAAAAACCACCAGAAAAACAATCACTGCAATATGAACAAAAAACTCTGTTCCACAGCATTTGTACTCCACCGCCATTAAATCACCTTTTCTGCCTTTTTGTGAACTAAATTATGCTTAATCGAGGAGGAAGTAATTTGGAAATTAATGGCAGAGAATACGTAGTAATTGCAGGGAATTGGAGGGGAACTTTAATGGTGTGATCAAGCTGGGAATTATGGAGGGTGGTAGTTTGATTAAAACTTGAGTTCTGATGCGGTTCCAAGTCCTGCGGTTACGTACTTAACGTTACGGGATTGTGGGCCCTGGTCCGATTTGGGGGGTTTTTACTAGGGAATATATAGCACATAATTCATGCTTCCTGGCTCCTGCTTTCGAAGTTTCGAACGTTAAAGTATATTTGACCGCCCTTAAAAGTTGCTTTTAAATATAAATAATAGAAAAATACCGTTTGTACCGTGTTTAGAGGACGGTAAAAATCCTCTAAACACTGTAAGTGTAACAGTGTTCTAGATAATAATCTTCAGCAAAAGTAAGAACATGTTTGGTGCATGATATAGGATGACATCAATAATTATCCGTGTACGCCGGTGACAATCTTGCAAACCGCATACATGGGTGATTGTAACCGCGTAGGTGAGAACAACTTGATATGATGGGATCAATA